GAGGAGGAGGAGGAGGAGGAGGAGGGGGGGGGCCTGCGCGCTCCGCGTAACGCTTCTCGCTTCTCCCGCGCAGCCATCCGTCTGGAGGAGGTAGCAGGAATCCGGGCGAAGTTTCCAACAAAAATCCCGGTAAATCTGTTTTGTTATCGGAGCGTATTGCTGCCGTTTGAAAGCAAATGTTGGGAACTTTTCAATCAAGGGCGGTGGGGAGGGACCTGAGTGTTTCAGGATTTGCTAAGCGTGACTCTAATTAAAACAGGTAATTGTTGAGAGATACCATAGAGAAAAATACCTTCCTCTCTTGGACAAAACCAAGTTTCTTGTTCCCGAGGAGCTGACCATGATGCAGTTCATAACCATCATCAGGTGGGTAGCAAGCAGCTGTGGGGCTGTGCTGCAGCTGGGGCTTGCTGCTGCTGCTCGCTGAGCAGGGATTTCCTAGAGCTGTGCTGGAACATCTTGCTTTCCTTGGTGGGGAGGGGGATGAAGGTATTGTAATGGCTTCTCTCCAGGGCAAGTATTTAAAGAAAATCAACAGGTCTTTTCTTGTGGTTTATGCTCTTTGGTTTAATGGTCTTCTCTCCTCATTCTAACTGTAGTGGGTAAAGATTATATCAGACTCTGGTTCTGCTTTCTTCTTGCTTGATGAACTTGGTTTTGGGATTCTGGTTCTGTTCTGCTTATAGCTGTTACTGCATTGTGCTGAATTTGTTCAACTCTAGGGTTTGAGTGGCATGAAATGTTCTTTTAAATTATTCTGTCTACAACACTACCAGGGAGAAACCTCCCAAAGTATTTAGTGCAGTTCTCTGACAGACTAAGAACGGCATGTGCTTTCCCATATGCTTTTTAAAGTATGGAAGAGATCTTTCTAGATGTGAGCTACTGTAAAAAATGGTTTTGGACAGATTAGGTCATGATCCTTCTGTGTAATGTTTTGGAGACTGACTCTTCTTTTGAAGCTAAACTTAAAAAGTTTAACAGACTGTGCTGGAATCCTTTACCACAGCTGTACAACAGAACCTTTTGCTTTCTACTTAGTAGTTCTCTGTAGTAACTGAGACTCAATGACTGCTCAGGCTCAGTAGCACTCATGGTTAAACAATATAAGCTTTCCTTGGAGCAAAAGCCTTTCAGCTTCCAAGTGTCCAGTTAACTTCCTTCTGATTAAGATATTAAACCACATAATGACTTTACACAACATATCTTGTACATAGTCCATATGACAACTCTGCTTAATGTATTTAATAGACTAAAGTTGAAACTTTATTAAAATTGTTAATTCTTAATCTTCCATCTCTCCTCCCTTCTCCAATCAGAAGCAGAATGGCTCTAGCTGCTACACAAGCTTTCTACCTGCTGGTGAACAACAAAAGCCTAGCCAGTATGTCCTTGACAATGGCAGAAGTGTACAGGGACTACAAAGATGAAGATGGCTTTGTGTATATGACATATGCTTCCCAGGAGATGTTTGGATGCTTTTTACCCACTGCTCAAGGGAAGACTATGGAATGCCTTCAAAAAACTTAAGGTTGGGTCCATGTGCTGCAGTGAAGCAGTGTGCTCTGAACTCTGCCTATGACCTGAATCTTGGAGATGCTCCTTGCAATATGAGCTCTTGAGCTTTGTAGTGAGGAGTTATGACCCAAAAGCTGGCAGGACCAGCTTAAGGCAGAAATGGTGATACACATTTCCTAGATGATAATGTGGATATATATTTTTATATTTGAAGACACAATGTTTTTTTTGGAACTGCACCTTCACTTTTTCTGCAATATTAATCTTTGTTTAGTAACTGATTTTTAAGGTGTCCTTAAAGCTTAAGAGTAAAATAAAGAAGCTTTTAAGTATTGAGTTGAATGGTAGTTTAAATCTGGGGAAAGACTGTAAAAGTCTGTCTCGGAGAAGGTCCCAGAATAACTCGGAATTTGAGCTCAATGTCTCTTAAGTGAAGCATTACTTCCATAGCCACTCTATATTTTTGAATGCAATAACAAAATTGAAGTCTGATCACACAGGAGTAAAGCCATAAATATAAATGGTTTGTTAAGCTAAATATCTGTGCTGCAAGACCCAGCAGATGATACTAGTGCTAGACCAGGGTTCAAATGCAGTGTTAAGCATAACACCTAGGTAAACTACTGTCAGCTGTTATAGAAAACACTGACTGTGATTTATAGGTAACAACTTGTTTTAAATAAGGAAAACTGATTGCTAGTCAGCATATCATAAATGCAAATAGCAAGACCTGAACTGTAGCTTAACTAAGCGTTAAAGAGTTTGTTCTTACTACTGAATTTTGCTATTCTGGTCTCTGTAGATAGTCACATCCATTCCCTACAGGTACCTGCTTGTCAGGTCCTCTGGAGGACTTCAGTGACCTTTCTTTCAAGGATGGATAGAGCTGTGTGATGTACCTTGTGATTAAGAGGTATATCTGCCTCCAGAACATGTCAAAATTGCCATTTAGTGAGATACTTCTTCATTTAACTGCAAACTTTGTTCCTAAATGTGTATTAAACCTAAACATGTATTAAGGGAACACTTAACAGGAGGCTTAGTCTGAAGTATAGCTCAAGCTGGCTTTCTTGGTCCTCTCATTTGTGTGGAATGTATTGGAGAGTTATAAATGTTCTGATCTTGCATAATCAACTTAAAACATCAGGTTATTGAACAATCTGTCAGTGTACAGTAAATCAAGCTATGGCAGCCTTAACTTGGGACGGTCAAATTGTTACAGTATAATTCTTCTGTTCAGTACCAAACTGATTTGCAGCAGCCTTAACTTGGGATGGTCAAATCGTTACAGTATAATGTAATTCTTCTGTTCAGTACCAAACTGATTTGCAGAATTATTAATGTAGGAATTGCTAGACTGCAAAGGAAGTGTTGACAGTATTTAAATTATGCATAAGGAAGGAATGTGTGTGCAAGCTTTTTGCAGCAGTTCTCTTGTACTAATAATCTCTTGAATTTACAGCTCTGAGCAGACCTGGGTTCAAGCCTGTGAACCAGAAGGTTTAGAGGGGGACCTGCCTTATTGAAGGTGATGTTTGCTAACTCATGTTTCATGAGCTGAGGAACAAAGCAATCATTGACCTGGCCAATTCAGTGGAAAGGCTAAGGCTATGTCAGTATAGGTTATGAAAACATATGGGCTTTGGGATCCCAGAAATTGTTGTTTGGATGAATTTCACTTATGCTTGTAATGGAAACAGTTTTTATTGCACAAACTGAATTCAAACAGTCATTTGTTACCCGCCCTCAGGGAGGCAGAGACACCTGTTTGGCAGGAGCACCACACAGCAATGTTGAACAGCTGTGGGAATCTAGAAGTGGGGGGGAGAAAAGAGAAGTCTTGCATGCTCAAGCTCTCTTGCCAGTCTATGTGCTGGGCTAATTTTTTGCTTCACTGACTCTTCTGTTTTTCTTTCTGTCTTGTGTGATAATTGATACACAAAGAGAAAAGCCCTACAGATTCTTGGCTGTAGTAATTTTATGTCTGACAGCCAGCTTTCTTTGGTTCGTAATGTAGTGGCTGAGGTGCAGGAGTTGAACCTTCCAGCTTTTATTGACATTAGGCTATGGTGTCGGACAGGCTAAGCTGCAGATCCAGCCCAAAGAGTTATACAAGGAGAAGGTCAGTTGCAGGTAAAGACCATTATTATAAACCTAAATGCTGAACCTAGAGAGAAATCCTATGAGCTGGGAAGAGTTTCATCATTGGTAATAGGCTTGCTCTTCTACAGAGTGTTAAAGCAGATAGTTTTAACCATCAATGACAGTATTTCAAAAAGTCTTAAAATAATAAACTAGGAGTTAGATACCCAAATAAATCAGTTATGCTGCTGGTGGAGTAGCTTTTGGCTGGCTTGTTTTGGATTCAATCTATTGTCTCTTGAAGAGCAAGGAATACGGATTAGAAAAGAAGCAATCAGAAAAACTTTGCTCTGACATAAGCAGCTGAGATAACTGCAGCTGCTGTTTGGAGAGCTAATATTGGCTTGAGCAAATACCTATTGAACAGAGACAGGTACCTGATTGTTTGTTGTTGTTTTTGGGGTGGTTGTTTTTTGTTTGTTTTTTTTGCAATGAAGGACACCATGCTGTAGTAAGTAAATTTTATAGTTATTTCCAGCTTACCCTCAATGTAAAAAGGGAAGGAAGAGATGCAAGTTTTGTAAAAGTATCTTAATTTCTGAATTTCTACATGGACACCAGAGGAAAAAAAAAAGACATTCTGAGGATGCTCCTGTTTCTGCCATAGACTGCCAGCTAAATCCTGGAAGGTGCTCAGTGCTCTGCCTTTAAAGCACTTACATATGTACTTGCTCTGCTGAAGTAACCCATGTAAGATTGGGTCCACAGCAGTCAGACCCTTTGTGAGATCAAGCACTGTGTTCCATCTTCAAACAGAAAAGCCAAATTGAAAGGACACTGAGTATAAGTGTGAGATGAGGGCTGAAATTATCCTTTCTGTTGAGGTAATTTTTTTTGAGTATTGGGTAAAATAAAGTACTGGGGGAGTTGTGACTCTAATTACCCAAGTGTAATAATACATATAAAAACCAGAGCTTAATACTTTTTCTCAACTTCAGCAAGGTACTAAATGAAGCTCTAATATTCATAACCACAAATACTCCTGGAGTTATTATAAAGGAAGTACAAAAGCAGCTAAAAATCTGAGGATGCAACCTTGCTGCAGAAAAATGGTATTTGAATGAAATGTGCCATTTGTGTCTGTAATGGCACAGTAACTGCTCTGGGAACGGAATAGTTTGTCTTTTTAAAAGACCTGAGAAAACATCACTGAAGCACATGCTGTGTGCACTCTATATATTCAAAGGGGCAACTGAAGAAGAACACAGTATTGATTTAAAGAAAAAAAACAATAAACCAACACCCATAAACACTTGGTTTTAGTAAAAAAGTCTTGCTGATGCATTTGAATTTCAAGGGTGTAGAAATAATTGTGTTTTTTCTGGGCCTGCTAAGACTGGATATTCAGTTGTCTGTGCTTTCCTTGCCTCAGCTGATGTCCTACACCCATATACAAGCACAGCTACAACTGTGTATAATACTTTATGGGGTGCAAATTGTCTTGTGTTGCTAGAAGACAAACATGATGATAAACTCAGCTTGGGCTTTAACACATAAGCAACAGCAGGAGCTTTCCAAACTGTTGGGGTTTTAAAAATACTAAACATTGTGGGTAGAATGAATGAATGAGGAGACTTACCTTCTCACTCAAGTACTGCAGGCAACAAATCTTGTGGACTTTAGATGGGCTTTTTATTGTTTTCTTGTGCTAACTACTTCCAGATGGTGGTAACTTCAGAGTAAAAATATTAAAGATACACTGGTAAACATACTAAGTTACAGACTGTATCCTCCTCTTCAAAGGAGGTATTTTGTTTATATAAAATACAGAGAATTAAGAAGGTAAAATTAATAGGACAGAATATAACCTTCAGCATAAAGCTGCACTACTGTACTTCTCTTTCAGGAAAACCCCTATGGAATCTATGGGGAGAAAACCAAAAGACCTAACCAGAAGAGAAAATCTTTCTAGAACACTGTATTTTTTACTTATGGACTGTGAAGTGGGAGAGAGTGAGGGTTTCTTTGGGAAACTTCCAGGTGATCCCTGAAAAGTGACTGAGAAATGCAATTTCATATATGTTACTGTACAGCCTATGTACAATGATTCTAATGGCAGATAACACTTCCCCTAAGGATCAATGTTCCAGAAAACATTTCTAGACCACTCTCCCAAGTTTTAAAATACCCTGTTTGTTTCATACAGTTTTGAATCAACCTGTCAAATTTTAGGGAAAAGACATTCTGCCTATAGATACATGTTTAGTATTTTTAGCTTTCCTAAGATGCTTTGTAATGTTAGGTGTACCACATCTTCCTGATGTTTTTAGGTTGCTTCTTAAAAGCACAAGTTTCTTAGCTATCTGCTACTTGTTCCTATACTGTCTGCAACATGTGAAGGCAGCATTGGGTCCCAAGATAAACAAGTGTGACCCTAGTTTAGAAGAACAAGAATATAATTTTCATGAAAGCAGAGGATGTCCTTAAGACTCCCCTCCAGAAACTCATAATCCTTTCATTACTGCTTCTTGTTTTCCACCTTATGTGCCTCCCTTATGACCATAGTGTTCCTATGATACACAACTGTAGCAGCATAGTCCAGGTGGATTTTGAAGAGCATAATAGCAAGTATTGATGCCAGAGTTTGAAAAGCAGTACTGTCCCTTCCCAGCAACAGACCCTTGGGAGAGAGGGAGTGCGTGTGGAGTTTCCAGAACAGGCAAGAACTAAGGAGGAGCTGCTGAGGCCACCTAACACTTACATCATGTCCAGCAGGGACTGTAAAGGGCCTTTATGAGGCTACTTACGATTTTTTGTAGGGTGGGCTTAGCTGGTTGTGTTTATTTTTGCAAATACGCCAAGTTCTTGTGTGTAATGGCTTGATCTAGATCTTAATTAGACCTTCAGCCTAAGCCTGTTCTACCTCAGAA